CAAGGCTTGAGACTCCGCTCTGTGTGGCCAACTATAACAATAACCCTCAGGCTGGACAGTACTCGTATGTAGCTCTGCTTTCCTTGAATTGGCAGTGCTGAAGCCAAGGTTTTCCATGGTCAGGGCCAGCAAAACCCCTAAATTTATAGAATTTATGTTGGTTTAGATATGCTAGATGGACATTAATACAACACAGAGGTGTAACAATTGGTTGCATTTATAGGGATAATTATAGGGGAGACCGGGGATAGTTGTAACGTGGGTCAGTTGTAACACTTCCAATTTCTCCAATCAGGGCTAAGTTTCAAATGATGTGACTCATCCTGTGCATGCCCAATTCAGTTCTGCTATCACATGTGAAAAATCAGCACATTTTGTCAAACACAGACAATTTAACATGAAAAAAAGTAATTTGTATGCCAAAAAGTAAGTTTTTCTACTTTATTTCAATTTCTAATAGCATTATCTGCTTTGCAGTTAAACTCATCAAACTTAAATTATGTTATTTGTATGTCTATGGGGATATATTCTGTGTAGGTCTTTAGTGCTAATGTTTTAGCCGTTGGCTGTAATGTTAGCTAGTTCATGGCTATAGGAGTCTGGGTCAGTTGTAACAGCAACAGTCTGGGTAGTTGTAACAATAATGCAGATGTTACAACTTACCACACTATTACTTTAACTTATATTAAACAAGTTGGGGCAACGACATCAGCAGAGAGAGGTTCACTGGTCGCATTTGTATATGCGAGTTAATGCCATTGGCAACACAATTCCTCCACTGTTTGTGTTCCCACACATACATGATGCAGACCACTGTGTCAGAGATGGAATATGTTCAAAAGCTAGATTTCTGCATTCTGTCACACACACACAGCTACATAAATGGCTCTAAGTGCATTCATGTGTTGAATAAACAAAGATTACATGTTAATGTTTTGTTAGTACCCTTATTTCATTGTGTTACATTTCACCCCAGGATATGTTACAACTAACCCAGACTATGGGGTTAATTGTAACATTTCACTCTTTGTGTTTGAGACCATACCATGCAATGGGTAATTGTGCTGCAGAGAAAATAGCTGCACTATTTAATAGCAGAGACATGTAAATACTTTGCATTACATTTTGAATCCACTACCTTAAAAGAGCTCCAATTTACAGACAGAAATGTCAAAAATGTTACAACTATCCCCGGTCTCCCCTACTGCTGGACTGCATGTTTTCAAACCATTTACTACAGACATATTACATTAGCGCAGAGCATTTCTGACAAAGCATAGCATGATCATTTAAATGCATTTGGGGCTTCAGTTGGTTTCATTGATTTTATACATTGAATGCTGCAAGAACAGATAAATTATATCACTATCCGAGATTTGTGAAGTACTTAAAAGTTCAAACCACTAATATTGATCCTAAAAGCATTTTATCTTTGCATCTTAACTCACTGCTGTCTCATAGCTTTAGAGTCCTTGAACAGATTTGATAATGTCTGGGCGATAATTAGCAGCAATATGTTAAAAATCAATGAAACAGTTCAGGATGGAAGTGACAGAATTCTTCCTCCCCCTGGTGGCCATACACTGCCAGTGCTACTATTTTATACACTATAAAGTTACTCATGGACTGGTCTCTAATTGTTGTAATGAGAGCAATGTGATTATGAAGTGATGGCTCCGGAATAATGTATAGTCAAAAGCACTGCAGCGAGTTGGATAGCGTCCAATAAATACTGAAGTTATAAAACACTGTTTAAAAAAAATGTTTATAATGGACGTTCTTTAGTAATCTGAGAGCTGTAGGATTGCTGTGGGATTTGGTATTTTGGCCATAACACACAAACTGGAACTGGAACCAGGGGCATATCAGTTTTGAGCAAAGAAATACCTTTGTAAGCTTCATTTTCATTGTGAAAAAGTCTCCAAATCAAGATTTTAATGCCAGGCGCCCCATAATCATCCTATCAAAATCGTCGCAAATTATCAGTTCAAAAAACCGCCTAAGGGGAGTAAGTAATGCACTAAAATGATATGGGCAGATTTTATCACTGTCACCGTATCCCGTATCTGAAATGGAGAGAAAAAACAATATAATTAGTGTGTGTGGTGTTATGGGTTGAAGCGCGCGCGCGCGCGGGCGGGGGGGGGTATCCACGAGTTACATTAATACAAACTATTTCAGCATATAACCCTGAAATCTGGTGAAACAGCTGACCGGAACCATCTGTAGAATAAAATCCGTATTTACCGTCAGATCATGAGTCTAATAAAATCCCGTTACTCTGCCACACGCATGCGTAAATGCCCTCGCCGTTTTCCCTTTAGGTAGCATACTGTTGACATACTGTAATGGTCTGACATTAATCAATCACAGTAGCACCGCTCGATCACAGCTCAGCGACCTTCTCAACAAATGGATTATGAAAAGATAAAATAAAATAAATCTATGAAAGATCAACAAAGCCCTTCCGCTGAATCACGGTTGAAAGCTTCGAGAAAATAGTAACAAATGACCTGCTATCTCTATTTTGCTGACATATAACGTTATCAATGTCACAAATTAACTATAAAATGGTACTTTCAAACATCAACGGACGCTCTTTGGTTATCATCGCAAAACCGAAAGTTAATAGCAGACTATTTCCACTTCGCCGTATTTATCTTTGTGTGTTTGGTTGTCAGGACAAGCCCCAGGACAAGAGGGCAGAACACCGGTCCTTTGGAAGCTCGCTTCATAAGCGGCTACACTGCAGTTACATGATGTACATACAGCCCGGCCTTTTACAGAAAGTACCCTTTTATTTGGTATGTTTGTTTTGATAGTCGTTTATTATTATTATTCTTTTTTAAATAAAGATATATGCTAGCTTATTAGCGACCAACATACTATTGCTACAAAGAGTCAAACGGTAGGAAACCGTTGTCAGAACTGTTGTCTTCTAGCAACTTAAAGAAGTCCAGACGCTTTTCTTTGCAAGCTCCTTTGACTACGATGACCTGGATGACTGAGAACCTTCACAGACACACCGTTGTCTTCATTATCTTCACGATTCAAGTTGAGTAAGTGGTACTGCTAACTTTACGTCAAAGCTCTCTAAGAAAGAAAGAAAAAGGGGGCACAATTTTGCTTAGCTGTCTAGGGTGATTAGATGTCTGCACAACATTTTTTTATTCCTTGTCCTCCTGCCCGTCTCACATCTAAAGACAGTGTCACACATTTTGACTGTATCTGCAGGACAAGCACTTTGTAAAGTCTATTTTTTACTCAGAAGGAAAGGCTTTTTTGTATTTATTGTAATTCTAGTCAGAACCAAGAAGACATTGTCTTGAAAACAGTGGAAACAACCACATAGAAATTGAAGCAGCCAGTATATTCTAAGAAACAGAGATTTTCTCTTTTTTTGCTAGTTATTTTTTGATTTTGCACAGAGAGGGAAATATGGTGGTAACAAAAATGTTAAAATTGTCAGATACAACAGGTATCTGACAATCAGGAAAACAGGTATGCCAATCCACCAGTATGAACTGAAAACCAAAAAACAATTAGCAGCTGCAACGATGGTGAAATTAAAAAGAATACGAAGTGTATAGACTGTCACATGAGACCATAAGAGCGACATTAAGCATCCTTTTATCTTCATCTTTTATCAAGAGAGTTGAAACTATAATATATTTAGCATATACATGATAAATGCCAGTGTTGTAAAATTGTTTTTTCCATTTGTTTGTTTTTTATTATTATCATTTTAAATTTAGATATGAACATTTCAAGCTACAAAGCTGACATGTCCCACTTTGTCCCACACAACAAACCCCATGTCTGCCCAACAACCAGTTTGGCGGGATCTGGTCAACCAAAGTGCTGATATTTTTACTTATATAAAAATAATAATAATACACTTATCTTCTGTTCAGGTATGTAAGTAAATAACTATAATTTGGAATCATAATAAAAACAAATAATACTATTTAATAGTAAACAGCAAAATTGTAAATTCATCGATAACATTGATAATTATATTTTAACATTAAAGTATAATTTTACTTAAATAGCTTGCACATGCTGGTGGATAAACCATTACAGAAACATAATTACCAACATTGTTAATTTTGGATTGGGTGGTGGTCTAATAAATCTTTTAAGCAGTTTATATGTAAAAATCATTTGATAAATGAAGTATTTCTCAATGCATTTCAACCTATGATCTAATGTTTATACATGGTCATATGATTTTAATGTTCCAGTGTGGGTGACACTCAATATATTTGATATACTGACTTATTAAATGGCTAAAAAAAGATTTTAAACACGCCTTTCTGAATGGTGGCGCTATTGCATAAACATGCCATTAGAGGGCGCTTTGGTAGAAATTCTTGATACTCAGGCATGACGTTGAAGTTTTTTTTTAATGTATTTATTAGTGACCTACACGAGTCACGACCATGTGCTAATGTTCTATGTATAAGTCATAAGCTATCGTTCTAAATGGCCAATCTTGTCCAGAAATGTCGTAGTTTCTAACTGACTTTCAATAAGGCATTTATAAATTCTAATGTAGTTTATTACATAGGTGAGGAACATTAATCGTCTCATTACCACGTGATTTTCTGCTGTCAAAATATGGGTCCTGGCACTCATGTGGACGTTATTTTGGCACGTATCACTCACTTAAACCTTGTTCTGAGACACACAGATGACTTTGATTTTGTGGGTGATGGGTGTAAGTGCAATGTTAGCGAGAAACTTGTTTTATCCAGATGTTCTGCACCATGTTTTTTTCTCTAAAGCTGGAGCAGGATGAAGGCAGCCTTCCGACTTAACATTGTCAATTATTACTCACTTATACAAGTTCTAAAACAGTATTAAGCATTAATTAAATTAGGCCAGTGGTTACAACTGAAAGGGCTTTACAAAATGAGCCTTTATATGAAATGCTTCTGAAAACGACATACCAGTAATCATATCTTTGCCTGTTGTGTAACTGAAAACAATTTATGCTGTTTCCTGTTGCTTATATTATGTTACTTATAATCTTTCTATGCTTGCAGGTAAGACAGACAGACTGAGACTAAAATAATGTAAGAGTCTGTCCAGTATATCCTCTTGAAGAACACTATCTGACATTACTTTTAATGAATTCTAACCTGATATATGTTCATGTTGAAGGTCTGATCTAAAATACTACATGTCACTGTCTGTGACTGTGGGTGTCATGTTGGTGGGCCTGTCGTACACAATCTGTTTAGCCTCCCAGTGGATTTATGGTTGGCCTGACAAGCCTGGGTATAAGAAGTACATAGAAGCTCTTAATCCAAGGTAACTTTTAAAATACTTTAGATGTGTTCTCTGTTTTTATTTTGCATTTTTGTTCCACTCATTGAGCAGAGTCTGTTTTTAATGTTTGTTTATGTGTTTGTGTTCTTAATCAGGCGAATATATCGTCTCAGCTTTGTTACGCTGGATCTTCTCAAATACCTGCGGTATGCCAGACTTTACTTTCAACTGAAGTCATGGTATAACGATGAGAGGAACCTTAAGTATTACGAAAAGGTATTTTAAGGATAACTTGCTGAGAAAATCTACCTGTTTTGTTGAAAAATTTGTCAGTAATCAGTTTGTTTGTGTGGACACTTAATAGGGCATCACATTTGGTCGCAGAGGCAACAAGCTGGACTTGTACCACCCTCCAAATGTAGACAAGTTAGAAGATATGCCATCACCAGTTGTAATATTTATCTATGGAGGTGCTTGGAGTTCAGGAGAAAGGTCCACTTACTGTTTACTGAGCAGGCAGATGGCTGAAGAACTGAAAGCAACTGTAATTTGTCCTGATTACTGCACATATCCAAAGGTGAGAGCTTCTGAACAACACACAGTAAAAAGCGGGGGGGGGGGGGGGGTTATTCAAATATTAAACTTGTAAACTACTCTTGGCTGACTCTCATCAACAGGGGAATGTTTTAGGGATGGTCCAAGATATCGCTGACTGCTTGATTTGGGTCCACGAGAATGGAGAGAAATTCAACTTTGACAAAGTAAGACAGCTTAGTATTATTTAAGTATTCTTTGGAACATGAATAATAAGCTGCCTATATCTGTACAATCAAACAAACCTCCTGAAATATAATTAATCAATAACAATAGCTACCATGACCCAAAATACTGACTTTTACAAATGTTACATATTCATATACATGTGTTTTTACAGATTAAGTAAATGTTTTATTTATTTTGTAGAATAATTCTGACAGCTTCTGCATCATGTCTTTTCCTATTTTTAAATTTTTGACACTGTTTTGGATTGTGACTGGTGGTTGAAGTGAAGTAATGTAACTTATTTATCATTATTTATTCAACATAAACTGGAAACAGATTTTTAGGTCTTGTTTAACCCTCTGAGCAGTAAAAATCTTCTTTTTGGTGTCGTTTCCACATGTTGATTAAAAACCACATCATCATACAGAAGTAGTTTGAATGATTTCCCGACCCTAGAAACTGAGCCGTGTAAGGAGGATTCAGCAAAATCTCAGGAGGGACACTCAGACCTTTCTCTCCATGCAAACGGCCCCAGTACAAGCTGGAGACTGTGGTTTGATAAAGTTAACAGAACCAAATTAATCTGACACCGTCCACCCCTTGGCTGTGTCCAATACCTACTGGTAATGATTTATTGCCAGCAAACCAAACCAAACTCTCGATATGGTTGTAAAGGGTTTGGATAACCTGGGCCAGATACACCATACTCCCAAAACAAACCCAAGAAAGACACCATGAGGAATGTGGTTGAACATGGTGAAATCTCAAAGTTCATAAAACACTTCTAGGCTAGTTGGGCAAACTCCCACATTACTTTCAGTCCTCAAGAGAATAAAGAGCTCTTCTAGTCTTCACAATCAGGATCAAAACCACATTGTTCCTGTAACCAAGGTCCACCTAACTGGCTCTCCTCTCTAATACCCTGGGACAGTCCTTCCAAGAAGCCTGACGGGTGTGATCCAGCAAGACAATTGCATAACCTGCAAAGCCTTAGGGAATCGTGGGTGAATCTCTACCACCAATGAGTTTTTTTTAACTACATCAGTGACCTTGCCCTCATTAATGTCTGAGTCCTCCTCTTCATTCCCAAACTCTGCTTTCAGCACCGAAGCAGTCAGTGGGATTGAGGAGGTCCCACAAGTCAACCAAGCTTCGGACTGCTTCTTCAGCTTGACTGGACTAAGGGTTATTCCTGTGACAGGTATCAGCCACCTTACAGCTGAAACCCTTTACAGCAGCTTCAGCAATGGTTTTGCAGAGCGTGGTTCACTTGGACTCAGTGTCCTTAGCATCTCTCAGAATGTTGTCGAAGTTCTGAAGTTGCCCCCAACGTACCTTCACTACACAAAGCGTGTGCAGCATGCTCCTGCATCACCTGATCCTAGTCATCACCAGGTGATCAGCTAATAGCTCAGTTTCCCTCCTCACCTATACGGCATGCTGCCACAGATCTGATGATACAATTACAAAATAAATCGCAGTGCGACCTAGGATGTCCTGGGACTAAGTGCATATATGAATGCTTTTATACTCATTCACAAATTGTTTGTTATAAACGTTAAAAAATACATATATCTAATCACATACAGCATGCTGTTCTGTTTTTTATAGGATAACATTGTATTAATTGGGCATTCAGCAGGTGCACATTTGTGTACACTCACCACACTGTTTCTTGTTGATACAAGAGAGGAGCTTTCCATAGAGCCAGACAAGCAGCAGGAAGTCTTCCTGTTAATAAGAGGAATTATTGGTAAGAAATGAAGTTCATCATCTAAAGAAATGTTTTTTAATTTTATACTAAACTTTCATGATGTAATATTTGCCACATACGTAGCTAAATTATTGATGGAGATTGTAAAACACATTTTGAGCATTTTTAGCTAATCTGTGGTTCCTCTTCCTTTATTTATACTTTATAAGTTAGGTTAACTGTTTTATATTCTGGACAGGTCTGAGTGGCGTCTACAACACTGTGGAACATTATGAACATGAACAGAAACGAGGAATCGAATACCTCTCTGACATGCACAGAGCAATGACTGGTGTGGAAAACCTTCCATTCTACTCACCAACACACTTACTGAAGAAGCTCAGCCAGGAGAAAGTCAGCAGGTGAAGAGAAAAGGATAAAAAATGGGTTTAAAACCAATTATAATTCTAAAATCTAGTGCATCAGTTATTTATTTGAAATGCAAACACACTACAGACATTTATTTACTACAGTCCTTTTTATTCTGACAGATTGCCTCCATTCGCCTTGCTCCATGGGACCAATGACATTGTCGTTCCTGCTGAATCTACCATGAGATTCTCTGAGCTTCTCACTTCGCGCTCTGTTAAGTTGTCATTGAATGTGCTTCCCAGAGCGAGCCACACTCATATCCCCGTTGACCTCATGGTGTCAAACAGACGCCTCTACCATCCAATCTACGGATACATCAAAGAAGAGTTCAGAAAACTTCTAGGTACTTGCACATCATTAGAAAAACATTCAAAAATCTGTAATACATACTGAATGATCCATACATTTACGTTTTAGATACTTGTTCTTATACCTCAAATGAACCATTTAACTTTGAGTTTGATTTAACACTTTCTGAGTTAATAACACTGTCATTATATTTTAACAATACTGTGATTGTGTGGGAGAGTTGTTCTCTACGATGCTTTCAAATAAATAATCACAAAGTAAAATAAGTTGTGGAGAAATGTGCGCTAGTAAGAATTGCACTGATACACAGTATTAAAAGTTGAATACAGTTAACAAATCTGTAGCTGTTATTTAATTATCAAATTTGAGAATTTTCAAGTGTTTTATTTGATACTCTAAAAGTACGTGTATAATATATTGTAACAGCACATTAATAACTCAAGTTTTATTGACAAATGAAGTACAGTCATCATTTTTACACCTACTTGAAATTATTATGCCTAATATTCCAAAATTCAATGTTGTTACATCTTGTGATAGTGTTAAAATCTAACCCGTCACTCTTTTTGATATACATGTATTTACAGAGAGCAAAATATTTTGGGAAGTCTTGAATGATTAGCAATTTTTGAGCCAGTATAACTTTGAAACAGTACATAAATACCATCAGATTTTCACTGCAGAACAATAGTAACCATGTTCTGTAAAACTTAATTGCTTTAAAATGTTTGAATTTTGAGCATTATTTACAAAAAATGTGTGTCAAATGTTTGTACTGCCAGTAGAATAGAATAAAACTTTGGTCTGTATCAACTGTGTAGGAAATCAAAATAGTAAGACAAGGGGAATAAATAACCAACAAGAGGAATATATACAAAACAAGGGGAAGGAGTTGGTTGGTGTATGGAGTCTGTGTGTGAGTGACCTGAGGGATGAGGCCACTCAGATCATGAATCAGACCATAGCTCAGATTGGTGGGTGGGTGGGGTGGAGGTGTGGGACTTGATTCACCTGTGGTATGAAATCTCTACACATCATATTCACTGCCTGGCCTTTGACGAGATAAACTGATCATGTTCTTGTGTTTGCAAAAAAACTACACGAAAAAACACCTAAAGAAATAAAAGCTGTTGTGAGAAACTCCTGCCAAATATCAATGTCCTATAGTTTCAGCTGGTTTGGGAATATCAGATGACCTCAGGAGCTGGCTTGATTAATCCCTTGTTGGAGGGAGTTAAGTAATGCCAGTACTGTGCCAAGCAAGCTAAAAGGGCAATTAAAAAACAAAAAGCACCTTTTGAGAAAGACTTTGCCTTCTTCAAAATAATAATAATAATAATAATTGCTGGATCTGAACCACCAGAGGCAGCAAGACTGTTTTCAGATTGTGTGAATGGAGGTAAGTTTTGGGCTAGTAGAGCGTAGCTCACAAAGATGGCTTCATCTGAAGTGTAATCTGAAAAAAAAAAAACTTTCCAGGTTACATAGTATATTCCTGGTAGATATGAATAAAACTGTAACATATCAAATTTCTTGCCTCAAGGTGCATTGTAAGGTAAGGTAGACCCTACAATAATAGATACAGAGAAAAACCCAACAATCAAATGACCCCCTATGAGCAAGCACTTTGGCGACAGCGGGAAGGAAAAACTCCCTTTCAACAGGAAGAAACCTCCAGCAGAACCAGGCTCAGCGAGGAGGGGCCATCTGCTGCGACATGCTGTGGACAAGAGCCAGAAATTAACAACAAGTGTGACTTAATGCAGAGAGGTCTATTAATGTTGAGTGAGAAAGGTGGCTGAAAAGGAACTACTCGATGCAGCGTGGAAATCCCCCAGCAGTCTACACCTATTGCAGCATAACTAAGGGAGGATTCAGGGTCACCTGATCCAGC